TAAAAATTTCGCAAAAAAAATTGCGGAAATCACTTTTCCCGCAAAAAAAATTTTTTGGCGGGAAAAATTTTTACGGGAAAATTTTACAAGGTTTTTTAAAGGTTTTTACAAGTGTTTTGGCGGGAAAATTGCGGGATCACTTTTCCCGCCAAAAAATATTTTGTATTTTGTGGACCTAATTTTGTTTCAAATAAGGGTAAAATGGTCATTAAAAATTAAAAGAGGGCAAACTTAAAAATGGACACTCAAAGGGGGCATTTTTGAAAAGGGGTATTGAAAAAGGGGTATTTTTAACAATTTCTCAATTAAAATTCACAAATAGTGACATTCATTGTTGTATTTTAAAATCTATACGACTATTAAAACAAAAATTATGCATATTCAAAATTTGAAAACTTACAAAAACTTTTGGCTATTTTTATGAAAAAACTCTAAAACTATTATATATATATACATATATATGTGCAAATTTACATGATTATTAATTTATGATATTATTGGGACTATATTTTTACATAGGGATTTCAAAAAACTTATTATCTTATTATCTTATCAAATTTGGTTAATTTTTACACTAGCCCGACTTAGGACCGGCCAAATTTATTAATTTATCGTGGTTATTAATTTATCGAGTATTAATTTATAGAGGTTTGACTGTATCTACTATAGTAAATCCCTACCAAAAAATATAAAGAAAACTAACAAAAAAAAAATTTACAGCAAAAAGATTGTTTTATGGAAAAAAAAAATCAGGCTGCAAATCATCTCGTGAATTATGTTTTTTTTTAACGTCTGGATTTATTAAATTCACGACAGCCGACAGACGACACCTCCTTCACCTCCTTTTTCATGCTCTTGATGGACACTTCTCTCTACGTAAAATCCTGGCGAACGGCTATAATTGTACATCGCTGGAGATCTCCTGCACACTTGCCTCTAATAATCTGTAAATTTCTTAATAAATCGCAGTATCTAGGAATCGAAATCCAGATCTCTGAATGTATAAATATTAATTATGTTTATGTTAAACAGATTGAGTATGGGTCAGATTTAATTTTAGTTTTGCCAAGATAAGTAGAGATGATATATATAAGGGTTTTGTGCAAAAAATAAACTCTCCAACTTGCCTATTTTTTCAACTTTACCTTTTATCTCCGAAAAATGCAGATTAGTCTTATGAAATCCAAAATAATACGCAATATAATCATTATACGTATTTTAAATATTTTTCTGGTCACATACATTAGTTTTTCAAAATTCTAAAAATAGAGTTGAACTCATTATCGCGAGGGTTTCGATTTGACATATTATTTATCAAAATTTTACGAACTTAAAGGTAATAAATAAATGTTATATTGCATATTATTTTGGATTTCGTAGAATTAATCTGCATTTTTCGGAGATGAAGGGTAAAGTTACAAAAATGGTCGAGTTGAAGGTCTTTTTTGGCACAAAACCCATTTATATATAACACTCACATTTATCTTATTTCACATTTTTTATTCCATCTTTATCTATAAAATTATTCTTTTAGTTATTTTTAAAAATTTTCCGTTTGTTATTTCATCCGTTGTCCATGATATTATACATTAATAGTGTTCGAATTTGGATCAAGCATGTATATAGATCATGTTTAATTAATTTTAAACATAAAAGTCATCATGTTTAAGCTAATTCAGAGGTTCCTTTATAAATCATTTTGTATGATTTCATGTATTACTTGATTTGGAGTTCACAATTAGCAATATGTACTTACTTGTATTCCAAGCCTAAGTAATTACTGCGCATGTACATGTTTGTGGTAATTGACATTATTTCATGATTTCAACATTTTGTATTATTAATTAATTAAGCACGTACATCATTTTCTTCCCAAAACAAAGGTTCTAAGTTACGTTTCTCGAGTCAAAACAACATGTTTCATGTTTAATATAAATCAAAGATTCCTTCACAAATCTTTGATTTAAATCTGCTAAGTCATTTACGCTCAATATATATGAAATGAATCGATATTTTTGAAGACATATATTTGGATTCATATATCGTATCAGATTGGATCTTTTGGGTTGTGCTATATTAGAGTCTTGGTTTATTCCGGTTTAAATGTTGGTTTAGTTATCTTATGATTGTATATAAGCTTAATCAGAGATTAATTAGTCTTTGAGTTTGTAACAAACATTTTTGATTTCTCTTGAATAAGAAAGTTTGTTTCTTCCGTTACAACTCCGATCTACTCTCGTCGCCGTCTTTGATACTCCGATCATCGGAGTTTAATATGGTATCAGAGCAAACTAATTGATCTTCCGCATTCTTCTTTCATCGGCGATGAGTTTTCCGATTGATTTTCTTCAACGATTCTACCTTTTTTCTTTTTGAGCTTCTTTGAGCTGTTCGCCGGAATTGTTCTTTGTTTTCATTATGATTTCTTTGTTTCTCTTTGTTTTTGACCTTTGTGTTGACGAATTTCTTGTTTCTATACCTAATTTCGTCACACATTTCTTTGTAATTTCTCAATTCTTACTCTGAGAATGGGATCTTATGTACCTCCATCTTCGACGGACAATCCGGTGAATGCTTCGACGATTAGACCTAATCAAGATCAGTCTCACTATCAGGTGGATCGGTATGAGAATCCATTCTTTCTTCACAGCAATGATCACGTAGGTCTTGTTCTTGTCTCTGATAAACTTACTCAGGCTTCTGAATTTCATTCTTGGAGAAGATCTGTGTGGATGGCTTTAAATGTGAGGAATAAACTAGGTTTTATCGATGGAACTTTAAAGAAACCGCCTATAGATCATAGAGATTATGTTGCTTGGTCTAGGTGTAATGATATTGTGACAACGTGGTTGATAAACTCTGTTTCTAAGAAGATTGGACAAAGTTTACTTTTCATCAGTACTGCTGAAGGTATATGGCGTAATTTGCTTTCAAGATTTAAGCAAGATGATGCACCACGTGTGTTTGATATAGAGCAGCGTCTTAGCAAGCTTGAACAGGGATCTATGGATATTTCTACTTATTATACTGAATTGATGACTCTCTGGGAAGAACATAAGAATTATGTTGATCTTCCGGTTTGTACTTGTGGTAAGTGTGAATGTGAAGCGGCTGTTAAATGGGAGAATTTACAGCAACGAAGTCGTGTTACTAAATTTTTGATGGGGTTGAATGAGAGTTATGATCAGACTCGTAGACATATATTGATGTTAAAGCCTATCCCAAATATTGAAGAGGCATTCAATATGTTAGCTCAGGATGAGAGACAGAAATCAATCAAGCCTTCTTCTAGAGTGGATAGTGTGGCTTTTCAGGCAACTACAAATGTTGATGCAGAGAATGCATATATTGCTGCTTATAATACGATGAGATCAGCTCAGAAACCAGTGTGTACTAATTGTGGGAAACTTGGACATACAGTGCAGAAATGTTACAAGATAATTGGATATCCTCCTGGCTATAAAGTCAATGCTTCTGGTTTTAACTACAGGAACACTAATATGCAGATGCAGAATCCTCAGTTTCAACCTAGAATGCAGACTCAAACTCCTCAGTTTCAGCCTAGGATGATGTCATCTCAGCCAAGAATGCAAATGCAAATGGCTCCGACGAATGCTGTTGCTAATATCTACACAGAGTCTATTCCTTATTCTACTGGAGCTGGTTCTCAGACGTATCCCTATATGGTTTCACATAATGTTCCACAGGTTACTGATGGTGGAAATACATTCAATATACAAGATCTTACTCCACAACAACTCCATCATTTTCTTTCATAGTTTCAAGCTCAAGTACCAGCACAAGAGCCTGTGACTTCTTCAAGTACTTCTGGTACTACTGCAACAATTACTGAACTCGGTTTGATGGCTCAAACTTCTACCTCTGGTACTGTTTCATTTCCTTCTACTAGTCTTAAGTATAAGAATAATAATCTCACTTTTCAAAACTATACTTTATCTTCTTTACAGAAAATTCTTTCACCTGATGCTTGGATAATAGACAGTGGTGCTTCTAGCCATGTGTGTGGAAGTCGGATTCACACACTCAAGTATTTTGTTAAATGGGAAAGATTATTCTTGAGGGACAAAAATGAATACGTAAGAACTTGTAAATTGATACGAAAATTGCTATATTATTTCTCTCTTTTTTTTAGATGGTCCCCCTTTACATGGCCACTGGCCTCTATATTTATACATAGCTAAACGACATTTAAAATGAGTAATTAAGTACAATTATTCCTTCTTAAATGTGTCCGTTTTGATTCTTCGGCTTTAATGCTCAACGTTTGAATTTGAGTTGACTCTGATCTTCACGGGCCTCGCCTCTTCTGGCCCAAATGTCTTCGAACCGACTTACCCGTGTCTTCTACACCGAACTCGCGTCATAGTGCAGTCACTTCGGGTTATCTAAATGGTGACAACCACTTCGTCCATCCTTTCGGCTCGCGGGTCCAATGGGCTTCATCCTTTATGGGCCATTATCCTGATTACGTGGCAATCTTTGGTTGGTCTCGTACTTCTGGTGCGGGATCCGACACCAACAATTAGCCCCCCAAGTTCTTCGAAGTGTTTATTCCAGTTCGGAGGACTTTAAATGCTCAAGTGGCCAAAGATTGCGCTCGAGAATCTTTCTGATTTCCCGCCGAAAGTCCCATCACTCCTTTAATTTTGGCACTATCCTTTTTAAACCGAGTGACATCTGTCATCATTATGACCGTATATTGATTAATTTACTATTAAAACGGGAAAAAACCTTCCCACTTCCCACACAACTTCCGAGGCGGTTTCATCATTAGCTTGAAGTAACTTCTTTTCACCATTACTCTCTTCTTTTACTTTTGTACTTTAATCAAAACCTCTCTCTTCGTTCCTTCACAAAACCCTTCCTCGCCGGATCTTGAATTTTTCTTTCCAATGACTTCTGATTCCGATAGACCCGAGTCTCCGTCTTTCGACGAGAGGCGTTCTAGTAACGATGAGTGCACCCGCCCTGGTGACATTGCCGGTCCGCACTATAGGTCCACTTGTACTCTTCAATCCCTAGAGCGGTTGAAAGAGCTTTGCCGGATTCCGCCGGAAATCATGGCTGAAGCACAAATAGCTTCCCCCACAGAATCTCCAGAGAACCATCGCAATGGTTACTTCTGTGTGTATGAGATTTATTTCAAGGGTTGCGGGCTTACCTTTCCTCTTCCCGAAGCCCTAATTTTATACCTAGCGGCTCTTGAAATCGCTCTTCCTCAATTAACCCCCAATCTTCTCCGCACAATTCTCGGCATTATAACAATCGCGGCGGAGGCCGGTTACGTTATCGGAGTTGCCGAATTAAATGAGCTTCTAAGCGTGAGAAGTTCGTCGAAGAAAACGGGGTATTTCTCAGCATATCCTAACGCCAACAGGAACATCATTTCGCATCTTCCAAACAAGGATGAAAATTGGCATCATCCTTGGTTCTTGATTAAGAAAACTCCCGCTTCGGTTGGAAATCTTGCAGATTTCCTCCCTTCGAAGTGGTCGGCGAAACCTGGTAGAGATTAGGTCGCCCGTATCTTTCCCGGTTGTTTCTCTATCTTTATTAACTAACATCGTTGTTTCATTTCGCAGCTTTCATCGCTTCCAATCTCCCATCTGAAGAGTTCATCGAATTCTTCAAAATAATTCTTGAAGGGGAAACCCTTTGGAATTCCTTCACTCTCGAACGATTCATAGAGGCTAACCACAGACTCAGGATGAGTCCGCCTGGTCATCTTCACCAAATTCCTCCCCCTCCCTCAACTCAGGGAATGTCATCTCGGGCCCTTGCGGCCAAGCGAAAGTTGCTTTCCAAGCCGATGGCTGAAGCTTGCGAAGAGAAGAAAAAGTTTCTCGCGACTTCTATTGACAAGAAGGACTATAGTAGGACCTTGCTGGTCGATGATGGCAGTACTGAGGGAGCTCGATCTGTTGCTTCCTTCAGATTAACTCCTCGTCGAGATCGTCGCGACTCACGTTCTCCTCGGAGGGATCGATCTCCTCGCCGTGATTCACCTCGTCCTTCCCGGGATGATTTTAGTAACGAGCCAATTAAGAACTTGGTTCGCCGAAAGAGAGACAGGTCCTCTCGTAGTGATCTTTCCCCGCAGAGGGAAAAGTCAAGGACCCGGACTGACCGCTCACCTCGGTCATCCCCTCCTTCTGAACCAATGGGTCCTCCACGACCGGTTGACATGTCTTCCTCTTCCCAGCCTGATAGTGGAAAGACCGCCCGGAGCGCGTCTCCGAAAAAAGGAGATTCTGAATCTCGAGATGCTCCCTCGAGGCTGAAGCCTGCTCTTGTACCTCAAGTCAAATCGCTTTCAGGTTTGGTGATTTACACACACTTAAACCTTCGTCTTTATTAAAATTCCAATTTTTACAATTCTTCCTTCTTCGCAGCTATGGAGACAGAAGGCAGCGTCTTCCGATGCTTCAAGACCCGTTCTGGTTCGATCTTGCCAGATTTCAACAAATGGCGCCCCGCGATTCGTGAACGTTATTTGCTTCACGCGCATCACTCATCTCGGGTTAGTCCCGCTTTCTTTTATGTATATTTTTTATTGTATTGCCATTCTGCGAACTGACTTATCATCCCGGGTTCATGTATAACGCCAGGCTCAAAGCGAATTTAACGACATGATCGAACATTACGAAGGGTTGGTCATTGGCCGGGAGAAGGAGATTGACATGTTGACGAAGAAACTCTCCGCCCTTGAGGCCGAACTCAGTTCTTCTGCCGGCTCCAAGCATGATCTGGAGGACAAAGTCGACAATTTAACATCCGAGCTTGCGCAAATAAAGGGGGAGCTGCAGGGTCAGTACGACCAGAACTTCAAACTCCAGGAAGAGTTTTCTGGTATTCAAGGTAGGCTGCAAGAGTCTGAATCAAACGCTGATTCCCTGAACAACCAACTCATCGAGCTCAACGCGAAGTACAAGGCGATCGCCAAATTGCGTGACTCCGAGTTGGCGAAGTCGGCGTCAAAAGCCAGAAAAGAGGTCAAGGGACGCGGGATGGAGTTGATCCAAGGGGCCATCCGATTCATGCAGACTGAGAAGGCTAGGTCTGACCTGGAATCTGACATCAAGGAGCACGAGAGCAACCTGATCCTGCTGGATCAAATCCATGATGCGGATTTCTCCGAGGATCAAGAGAGAACTGAACTATCGGCTAATCTTTCTGAAAAGCGAAGTCGCTTGGCAGCTCTTCCTACTTCGACCTTCAACCCTCAGGACTTCGAGGAATTCTTCACCGAATCGCCTCCTATAAGCGAATCAGGTCTAGACTGGGCAGGTAATGCTTGGCTCCTGACATTTATTACCTTTCCTTTTCTTGCACCTTTGGTTGACTGGAATTATTATTCCTAGGCTCAAGTGGGGCGGAGGACGTTGTCCCGCCCGTAGCTCCTATGGTGTCGGAGGTCACTCCGGAGGTTGGTTGTACCGTGGAGGGTGGTCAGGAAACTTCATCTGATCAAGCAGCTGCCAAGGACGTGAATGAAGCTTCGACTGTTGAGCCGGACTCCGAGGTAGCTGCTGCTCCGTAGTGGCTGTGTCCACTTTGACTTGGGGATTGTCCCTTTATTTTTAAGACTTAATTTCACAATTATTTTTGCCTAAGGAGGCTTTATTATTATTCTCTTTTGAACAAGATATTTGCCTGAGGAGGCTTTTAAACCTTTCTAGGTTGTGACCCAAGGGGGCTTGGTTAAAATTAAATGCGGGTTTGCAAAGTCCGCTTTTAACCTTTTGTGGCCTTGTGGCAATGCTTTCGAGATTTTTATAGGCTGATCAGACCTTTCTCTTTAGAATGCGAGAACTGAGCTCGGCTTAAAGCGAGTTCCCCACTTCGGGTTTAGTCAACTCGGTAAACTTGTTAGGCTTGGGCCTTAGAAACTTTTGCAGTTGATGCGACGGTTGCTTTTTCCCTTCTTAAAGAGAACGGCGCGTCTTTTAATGTAATAATTGCCTTTTCTCGATTTTCCAAAAATGGTTTAAACCACTTGGGCACGCTATCATTAATGAATTTATGTTTCCAAGACAAACCCTAAATCATTATAAGTAAAGGCTTACCTACCTCTAGGCTTTATTAAACATGACTATAGAATCTCACTTGAGAAATATTCTAAGGATGGAAAACGAAGAAGTAGCCCCCATCGCTCCCGGCAGTCCCCTCTTCTTATCCGGCGACGGCTTTGAACCGGCCGGCGTTCTCTTTCCTCACGCCGTCTTTCACTTCCCTTCAAAGGAGAAGAAAGAGGCTTGCGACTTCATCGATAAGGTAAATATTTAAAGTTTTTGGCTTAAAAACTTTTTGCTTCATATTATTCACTCTTTTATGTTAGGTCGCCGACAAGCACCGCCGGCTATGTGAAGAGAGGCAGCGGCTGGGCCTCAAAAGGCAAACACTCGAGGCTCGCATCGCTCGAGTGGAGAGGAAGATACGGGCCTTGGAAAGCGACCCCTTTCAATGGGAGTGGCGGAACTTCGACTCCGTTGCTGAGATCCCGAAGATGCTTCGGATGTATCTCCGCGCTAGAGGGATCCCGGGCCCTGCGAACGCCCCCGTCTTCGTCACTCCATCCGACGATGAAGAGGAAGAGGACTTGGAGGAGGAGGCCAGCGACTGCCGGAAACGCCTTCGGGACCGTTCCGAAGTGGATGCCAAAAACAAGGCGTCCACTTCGAGGACTAAACCGGCGATGAAGGAGCCTGTTCCTGAGCCTCTCCCATAAATGTTCTCCAATTTCTTCGCTTCTCTCTTCTCTTTTTTTTTTTAAAAAACAAAAACTCGTAATGGGCTTCGGCCCTTTTTTATTTATGGAAATATTTGCTACTTTCCTTCTTTTCCAAATACTCTTCGAGATGCATCTTTTAATGCAGGATCCGTTCGAGGGCATAAATCTCTCCGCGAATCATTCCATTACTTGGATAGAATCCGTAGCTTGCTAGGGATATGGGGTTCCTATAAATTATAGGTTCAACCCCCCTTTATTCCTCACCATTTTTTTATTTTAGCAGGCATGGAGTTCAATCTACGCTGTTCAGAATCTATGCCCGACTTCTCCAGAATCGGAATGATGAATGAAGATGTTCCAAGTGAGCCCAACAGGCAGCCTCCTCCACTTCGCGGCTTCTCGAGATCTCAGATCCGAGCCCCCTGTGCTTTGATCAGGAATCTCTCAGTCAGAGACCAAGGAACAGCGACGGCGTTCATAGAAACACTTGAACTTCAACACCGGAAGCTTACGTCGGAAAAGAGGAGACTCCGGAAGAGGATTAACCGGATGCAACGCAGACTTACTACGGTGTCAAGAAATCTTTACATTCTTGAATCTCACCCCGGAGAGTGGATTGAGCTTGGAATCTCCGACTTTGCTCGAATTCCGGACTGCATGATGTCAATCCTCGATCTTGCTGGTCAAGGAATTGAAGTGTTCTGCTCGTCAACGAGGATTTCGTAGTTCGAAGTGTACGATGAGGGACACTTCGCCTCCCTTTTTTTTTGTAAACGCTTTATTTCCAATCTCTTGTATGTTCGCATAGCCGAACCTTCTTCCTTTAATAAAGAAATAAAACAAAAAAAATTTTATTAATAGCTGAACTCGTTTTCGAGCTGCCTACGTACCCATTTCGGGATCAAGCCAAATCGTAGTTCATGTACATAAACAATGCATGTAGCTTTTAAACATAAAACTTTTTTAAGTTGATCACATTCCAAGGTCGCTTGACTGGATTGTCTTCTAGGTCTTTTAACCTATAAACACCGTTCCGAACCACTTCGGTAATAACGTAAGGTCCTTCCCAATTAATACCGAGTTTACCGGCGCCTTCTTCTTTTCTGTTGTCAAATACACGCCTTAATACATAGTCTCCCACGAAGAACGGCCTACTTTTGACCTTAGAATTGTAATACCGGGCTGCTGCCTGTTGGTAATTCTGGATCCGAATTAGAGCTTGATCACGCCTTTCATTTATGGTATCCAGTGAATCGTTAAGCATCGCTGAATTTTCTTCCTCATTTAACGGTGCTTCCGTTCGACGAAGTCCGGGCACGTTGAGTTCAGCTGGTACTACCGCTTCCATGCCATAAACCAAAGAGAATGGAGTTTCTCCTGTAGGTCGCCTAGGGGTTGTACGATAAGCCCACAGGACGGGTTGGAGTTCTTCATACCATCCTCCCTTTAGATGACTTAAGCGTTTATTGATATTGCTTAATATCGTCTTGTTCGCGGCTTCGGCTTGACCGTTTCCTTGCGGATATCTTGGAGTAGAATAACTAACTTTAATTCCCCAGTCCGCACAAAAGGCATCAAACTCGTGTGAAATGAATTGCGGTCCATTATCAGTGACTATTTCGTACGGAACTCCATGTCGACATATAATGTTTTTCCAAATAAAAGTCTTTACCGCCGAATCCTTGATACCGACATACGCCTCAGCTTCAATCCATTTCGAAAAGTAGTCCGTGAGGACTAAAAGGTACTGTACACCTCGAGTTGATTTGTGCAATGGTCCAATGATGTCCATCGACCACCTCATAAACGGGTATGGGGCGGAAATGGAAGAGAATAACTCCGACGGTTGATGGATTAATGGCGCATGGAGTTGGCAGCGCTTGCATCTTTGGGCGAACTTAACGCAATCTGTGATCATAGTGGGCCAAAAGTACCCCATTCTTTTAACTTTAAAAGCCATAGCTCTTCCTGATGAATGACTTCCACATAATCCCTCATGCACTTCGCTCATGACGATTTCGACTTCGGGCCCAAAAATGCATAGTAGGTAAGGGTCACTAACACCTCGCCTATATAACGCATCTTTTGATAGGCAAAATTTCGCGCTAACGACTTTCATTTTCCTGGCCTGCCATTTATTCTTTGGGAGCTCGCCTGTCGTGATGTAGTGCTTTATTGGCTCCCTCCAGTCAGCCCCCCAGTCTTTAGCCGGAATTTGGTCAACTTTGTGAAATATCCGCGGCTCTGGTTCGGGATGTTCGTTTGGTTCAAGAATATTTTCCTCGAGTAATGGCTCGGTTTCTATCATCGTTTCTGGAATCATTTCTTCAGCTAAGACAACGGGTTCCTTGTTAGATGTATTTGATCCTTTTGACTTCCTGCGTTTGTTGGGTGGCGGTTCGATCTCTGGTTCACCATGGTCACGTGCCGCTGCTCGAGACCTTGTAACGACGAGGGTTTCCTTGCTGTCTTGAATGCTTCGCTCCGAGATGCACTCTACCGGAATAACTCTCTTTAACTCAGGATCTGATGTTGACGCCAATGCGGCGAGTGCATCTGCAGTTGTATTCTCTCCGCGAGGTATGCGGATTAACTCGAATTTCGAGAAATTTTTAGATAAATCCTTCACCACTTCGAGGTAAGCTTCCATTCTTGAATCTTTGGCTTCATAGTCTCCATTAAACTGGTTAGCTACTAATTGCGAATCGCAATAAGCCAATATTTCCTTAGCTCCAACTCCTTGTGCTAGCCGAAGTCCGGCAATAAGGGCTTCGTATTCTGCCTCATTGTTAGAGGCATTGAATAACAATCGGAACGATTGTTCTAGAATTTCTGATGTCGGAGATTCCAACCTAATTCCCACTCCGGATCCTTGCTTTGTTGAAGACCCATCTACGTGTAA